CTTCTTTCTTTCTCTCACTCCCCACACACCACCCTCCCCATCATTCCTATGAAACAAGGGCACTGGGAGTATCAAGTACGCTGTGTACACTATTCTGTGCTGGGCACTTTTATCTTTCAGAAGCTACTTGTCAAAACCTATCAATAGTCTTCAACACTTTCACCTGATGAGTCCTCTGAGAATTTTTACATTGTTAGAGGTACAGAGCAAGTGCTGGTTTCTATGTCAAACAGTTAGGGACTGGGTAAATAAACTACGGCATACTCATGTGACCGGATATGATGCAGTTATTAAAAATCATGGTCTATTTTAGGTTTCCCAACTGGCACTACTAATATCGGGGCCTGATAATCCTTTGAGGCCGTCCCATGCATTGCGGGATGGTCAGCAGCCCTCCCCCCCCGGCCTCCACCTACCGGGCATCACTGAACCAAACATGTCTCCAGGCACAAACCTTCCTGGGCTGGTGGGGCAGCTCCAGGCTGAGAACCAACCATAGAATGTGCAAAATATTCTATCCACAGAATACACAAAATACAGTAAGTAGAAAATGTAGTTATAAAAAATGTAACAGTATGACCACATTAGTTTCAAAATAAAAAACAAAACAAAAAGGTGTGAGTTAATGGACAGACCATGCTGTTAATAATTGTTCTCAGGTGACAAGATTCACGGCAATCTTCTTCCTTTTACTTTTTCTGTACTCTTCTGTAAAAATACATATTCATTTTATAAATAGAGCAAGAATCAACGAATGCGTTTATAAAGAGAATGTACCACTAGCTATACTCAAATAAGGTTAATTGCCACCAAAAATGACTACTTAAAATGGGAAGGACAAATTCTTGTTATGCTTTCAAACTCCTCAAAACTGGCTGTGCGACAGCAGAGCCCGCCAACAGCCTGGCACTCTCCTGACAGGGGCTGGGCTGGCTGAGCCTCCTGGCACTGCTCCTTGGGCCGAGTGGATGAACGAGGTTCACCCAGGCCTCAGCTCTGAACAGGGTCCAGCTAATCCCACCACTGCACAGCTGCCTTCAGTTTTCTCTCATTTTTTTTTCTAAGAAAAAAATTGTATAGAATTTTGTTAGACTTGGACACTTTGAATTACACATTTGGATAAAACTCAGGTAAGCTAACTTTTTTGTATTCAAATTTCATACTTAATAACATGAAAACTAGATCAAAAGACAAATACCTCAAATAATTATTTATGAAATACCTGTATTTTTACAATCCTATTGAGTGTAGTAATTAAGGAAAATAAGGAGACACGTTTCCTGAACTGCATGAGAAAATAAAAACAAACCAACATGTTGTCTTATCACTGCCACAGGCCACATCCAGGCACACGGTCGGCGCTCACACCCCTCGTCCAGGCACACGGTCAGCGCTCACACCCCTCGTCCAGGCACACGGTCCGAGCTCACGCCCCTCGTCCAGGCACACGGTCCGAGCTCACGCCCCTCGTCCAGGCACACGGTCAGAGCTCATGCCCCTCGTCCAGGCACACGGTCGGCGCTCACGCCCCTTGTCCAGGCACACGGTCTGAGCTCACGCCCCTCGTCCAGGCACACAGTCGGTGCTCACACCCCTCGTCCAGGCACACGGCCGGCGCTCACTCACGTTTCAGGAATGAACAAGTAACGGAATGACTGAACAGATGTCTATCACAAACACACTCGCTAGCTCATGGAGCCCACACCCAAATGATTCTACAATGTGTTAATGTCTGATTTAGTTTTGTTTTATTTTTTATTTTATTATTATTTTGCTTTTATTTTACTTTATTTTTGAGACAGGGCTTCACTCTGTTGCCACTGTGGCTACAGTGCAGTGGTGTCATCATAGCTCACAGAAACCTCAAACTCCTGGGCTCACAGTGATCCTCCTGCCCCAGACTCCTGAACAGCTGGGACCACAGGTACCTGCCACCACTCCTGGCTAATCTTTGTATTTTTTTGTAGCAAAGTCTCTCTCTTGCTCAGTCTGGTCTCAGAACTCCTGGCCTCAAGCAATCCTGCCACCTTGGCCACCCAAAGTGCTGAGATTATAGGTCAGAGCCCAGCCAATGTCTGTTTTATACATGGAAAATCAGAGGCTCTGTCAGATCAAGTTACTTGCCCAAGGTCACAAGGTTAATAAGATTCCATTGTACAATGTTATTTCAGACAATTTCATTTGCTAATAACATCCAGATCAACTCTGAGGACAGCATCGCACGCCTGATGAAAACGAGAACACTCCCAGTGTCATCCTCATCATGGTTCCTTGATCCACAAAGGACTAAGTGGAAGGCTGAGACCCAACTCTACAGAGAACAGGGCATATCACTTGTAACTAAAATGTTTCAGAGATTTTTAATCTTCACAATCCAATCATTCAAGGAAATCTGTTGAGACAACACATTTTGTCATCAAGAACTTTATTTCTAAAACTAGAAATGACGTGGGGGGAGTCCAGATGTAGAATAGGGTGATTTAATACATTAACAAGTGAATAACGTTAAATGCTAACTAAAACACAACTGTCACTAATTAAATTGCCATAAATTAAATCTAAACTTTTACTTTCCTTTTAGGTAAGTAAAAGTTACGTTTTAACTGAATAGTACTATCCAAACCCTTCTTTAAGACTAGAGTCTGTTTCTACATAAAGCCTCTATGCAAAACTTCTGATAAATGTTCCAAAGTCATTTGGAACTGAGTTTTTGTTTTCCAGCAAGGGCCTGGCCTGATCTCACTCAAAAAGGCCGTAAGTCCTTGGGGGTTGTAAATGCAGGCTGGAAGGCAGTGCCAACAGCATACCCAGAGGAAGGAGAAGGTCACGGAGGAGAGGGAGAGAGCACAGGAGGCAGCGAGGGCAGCGGACAAGGGAAGAAGGAACAGAGGAGAGAGGCCAGAGAGGGGGTCAGAGCAGGCCGGACCTGGGAACGCCACGGGAGCAGAGCAGGGCTCACCTGTCAGTGCCCGAGAGCCAGGCACCCAGAAGGGGAAAAGAGACCTTTCGTCATCCTCAAAACTCCAGCCTACGCAATTCCACTGACCCAAATTACGTAGACCAAAGCAAAACAAAATAAAACAAAAAACACAGTTGACTTTGTTAAAAACACTTTATGTTCAGAAGCTGCCAGCACATTCCTTTATTAATTAATCTGAGTGGAAGAACAATGTCTATTTATTAAGATAATGACAACTTCTTCTGAAAATTCTATATTCCATTTCCTTTATAAGGGAACTATCTTAAAGAATACCTGTCAAAAACCCACCAGAAATATATTTTTTAAAAACTTAGCTTAAAAAAGCCTAGCTCTATCTGTTTAAATTCTTTTAAATGTTTGCTGAGGAAAACAGAAGCTCTAACAGGAAGGCAGAAACCCACGTTCATAGACGTCCTCCAGAAAGACGTCACACGCCTGAGGTGGCTTCAGCGGCCACAGAATTCACATCGCTGTCTCCAATTTGTACAGCTCCTCCATGGACTGAGTGGGAAAGATGTCATTACGTGATGTGAAAATGAACTAAATAAGTTTTGAAAAAGCTTCACGTTAGCAAAGAGTAGAATGGGAACTAGAGTTTGGTTCTCCAGGCTTCTTGATGAATGCTCCCGATTTTTCACCTGGGAAGCCAGTGTGAAAGAGACTTAAAATCTCAGCACCCGCCTTTCCTCAGGTCCTTCTCTCCACTGGCATACAGTTACCCCAATATGGTGACTCCTCTGAGGTCCATGTTTGCAGTGTGTAAACAGCAGCAGATAGGCCGAGGGTAAGTGACTAAGGGAGGAGGATGAGACAGTGGGGAGAGGAGGAGGAAGCCACAGTGCGGCCTTGCTAAGGGTTCCAGCTGATGCTCAGAACCTGCGCCCCGGAGACAACTCCCTGAGTTCTAAATGCTTTACCTCTGACTTTCAACAGGCCCAGAATTAGACCTACACTGGACTATCATAAACACAAATATTTACGTCTGATGTTTTGTGCAACTTATAAAGTCCTGAAATCTTAGAAATAGCTTTTAGTGACTACAGAAATGGTTTAGAAAGTATGACAGCTTGGGCTTGGCGCTTGTAGCTCAGCAGCTAGGCGCCGGCCATGTACACCAGGGCAGGTGGGTTCAAACCTGGCCCGGGCCTGCCAAACAACTACAACTGTAACAAAAAATAGCTGGGCGTTGTGGCCAGCACCTGTAGTCCCAGCTACTTGGAAGGCTGAGGCAAGAGAATCACTTAACCCAAGAATTTGAGGTTGCTGTGAGCTGTGATGCCAAGGCACTCTACCAAGGGTGACAGAGTGAGACTGTCACCAAAAAAAAAAAAAGTATAACAGCTTGTAAAAAACTTGCTCTGAACTTTCTATTGCTTTCAAATGTTTTCAGAGGAGGAGGACATACTCTCATTTAAATTATTTTCTTATTTCAGTTACTGTGCTAAACTCTTTTTTTCCATAAAATACATTTTTACTTTACTATATTTTCTGCCTCATTCTACTACTGAGTTCAGCTTGACTAGAACTTTTTTCTATTGTCTATACCAGCATTTCCCAGAGTGTAGACTGAGGACCATGGTTACAGGCCATTAATAAGGGTTAACGCAAACAAACAAAAATGAAGAGCGTCTTGCTAAACAACTCGTAAGAAATCCCTCTCCTGAGAGTCTCAACAGACAGCAGCATACTTAAGAAATCCTGTACCATTCTTAATTCTGCTGACCCCATCCTCACCAAATTCATTTTATCTACCTCTCTTCATACAAGACAATCTTGAATTACCAAACTGGCAACACAGACCACACATCACAGCCAGAGAAACCCAGGACGCCTCTCACTGACCTGGGTCTCCCCAGAGGGCATTTCTCTGAAGGAGGGTGGGGTCTAACTCATTCACATTTGGTAATTATTAGCTTGTGTTTTCTTTGGAGATGCTTCCCGATCAATTCAAAGCTCCAAACAAAGGAGATGAGGTCTAGACTTACTGTACAGGTCTAAATATTTAAACACAGCTTGATACCTTTTATCTTTAAATGCCAATTTCTCCAGTTGGCTTCTCCAAATTATGTCATCCTCTGTTTTATTGAAGAACATCAGCTTCACTTTCCTTAAAAGAAAAAAAAAAGACTCAGAAATAACTAATTACATTTAAAATGGAACGTCTACAGTGAACTAGGTAAATGTTTAGTACCAAGTAGATAAATGGAAGTATAAAAAACTAAACTAAGAACCACATTAGTACCACAGCGAGGAGCACTGGGGGGTGCCGAGCAGGAAGTGGTTAAGGAAGCCTGAGGCTGTCTCAACAGCAGCTGCAGAGAGGACAGCAGGAGGGACCTACCTGAGGCTCCGCACACGAGTCAAAGCGAAGTTCAGGATTGTAACCATCGGTGTGAGGCCTGTTCCTGCTGCCAACAGAAAGAGGTCTTCCAGTTCTTGGAACTTGGATATTTTAAAATTGCCCTCAGGACTGCTTATAGGAACAAAATCTCCTACACAATGAAACATAAATTAAATCAGAAAAACAGAGCAGCCAGCAGAGAAACCCGGCGGCTAACGGCAGAGGGACGGAGAAGGCTGATGAGGAGCAGGGTGGACGCCGGCCAGGCCCGTGACACCGAGGAGGTTTGGGGCGGTCATTCTGATCACTGTGCCCTAGCGTGTCCAGGGGACATCATCACAACCAAGTTCATAAGGAAGGGTCACAACATCAGTTCCCACCTGAAATTTACAATCTACTGCAAAGTATTTATCTGAAAACTGTCAGTACAGGTTTAATTCTAAATTAATTATAAGTATCTCAAAAGCAGGTCCACTTACACCTGCCTTGCTTGGTACAGGGCAGAGAACAGACATTTACTACTTGATTATTGACCATAGTAATAGTATTAGTAGGAGATCAAACAGAAATGTATCCTAAAATCTCATTCTGATAAATGTGACGATCCACCATCAAATTTTTGAAAAGGCCTATCAATTAAAACAAGGGCTGTTTTGAGTTTAACTTGTATAACAAAGCAAGAGCAGAAGGAGTCAACTGCACTCGCTGTTTTCCCATCTAGAACTCACAGCTGAGAAATCAGGGCCCACTGTCCACAGGGCAGTGGGTACAATCACCACACATCACCCATGTAAGAAAACTGCTTTCAGGACTAGATTCAGAAATTTCCAATGTAATTTAAAAAATGAAAAAATAAAGGAATTCATAATTTTAAAATGATTTCAAATATTCTATCTTGTTATTTTTTTAGAAACAGGTTCTTATTCTGTTACCCAGGCTGGAGTGCAGTGGTGGGTTATAAAGTAACCCTGAACTAGGCTCAACTGAACCCCTGAACCTCCGCCTCCCAAAGTCCTGGGATTCTGACAGGAGTGCACCACCATGCCTGGCCCTCTATTAATAGTTTATTTTAAAATGTTGGATGTTCCCATTTAGCCTTTGTTTTCCATTTTAGGAGAGTAAGAATCTTGTAGTAACTGATGAATAAAGTATTTGAAAGTAATAAAACTCCTTGTTATAGTTTGAAAGGGATCATAGGATTAGAATGTCCTTGGGAAAAACCCAGAGAAGACAGCTGGTTACTAAAGAAGCCTTACAGGATGGTACTAACTCGGCACCTCTTAGCCACAGTTCAGTCCTTTCAATGTTACAGACTGACTAGAGCCAGGCAGGGGGACGACGCCACCCAAACTCAGGAGAGGCTCGGGTGCACATGCCAGGAGGGCGGGGGACCCTCTGCTGGGGTCACACGTGCCTGGAGACCTGTACGCTACGTGTCCCGTCCAGGCACCTTATTTCTGGCAACACAACACTTGAAAGGCCAAATTAGCCACGTGAAAGTTGCCTGAGGACCATGGGTAGAGATGTGGGATAACTGCCTGGGTCCCTCACTCAGGCCGGGATGAGGCTGCCGGAGCTGCCGCCGCCCTGAAGGTGCACAGCCCCCGCAGGGGCACAGTATCTGTGCCATGTCTCACTCGCCTGAATGAAGGTAAAATAATACTAAAACTTCACCTTGCTCTTGCTCTTTCTCTCTCTCCTCCAACCCCCTCCCTCCCCTCTTCTCCTTCATGAGAGGGACCCACTTCTGACTCTCTTTGGAAATTCCCTAAACTTTCTCTTTCTTCTTAAATAAAATTTCTCTCTGTTACACTGAAGAAACCCCCCTTGTCTTACTTTGGGCTCTCCTTCTCCGTGCTCTGGCGCTCTCTACCCACCTATGTTCACAATGTCTCCACACGGAGCTCATGATACCTATTCTGCAGTCACGGGTCATGCTCCTTCCCAGGGCGACAGTCACCGTCACTGCATTTGTAGGTGTTCAAAATGCTTCAGGTTCACATTGTATATAATATTTTGGTTTATGCAACCAAAGATGACTGAGCACATCCACTATGTAAATTCCTCAGTTTAACTTTTAGAAAGTAACAATTTTCTTTATTTTCAAATTTTAGTGATCCACTTCACTGTTACCTCTGTGCACTGCTAATGCTGCCTTAGAGAGAGGAAGGACGCTTTGGCCATTAGCTAAAAAGCATGAGAAGGATGCAGAGAAAGGGGCAGGAGTGAGGAGAGGCTCTGCAGCCGGACGGGGCCTCCCGCAGCTCCTTGTCCATCCTTAGAGCACAGGGGCTGATGGCTGTGACCCGCCGACTGCCTCGCCAGGCAGTGCAGACAACACAACTTTTGCCCTTGGAGTCTTATAAAGAAGAATGAATGTATTTATTAATACAGCAGGGCTAAGAACAAGCGTTAGCTACTGGGAGTTCCTTCAGAAAGGAAACGATATTTTGTTCAGATTTTTTTTTTAAAGGCCCTTGTCAGGAAGAGGGCTGATGGTGTCCTGTACGAGGTGACCACACGCACCAGCGAGTGAGGATGATGAACTAGGGAGCCGTGTGCAGAACAGTGTACGTCTGCACAGCTGCAGATGAAGCTGGAGAGACTGACAGTCTGCGCAGCCCACACAGAGGAGGTGACAGGGACCCAGCAGAGGTTTCAAATCCATAGAGCAACACGACTGAATCTATTCTCAGGGCAGTTTGGAGAAAGAGTTGGAAAATGCAGATATACAGAGAAAGATGCCAGTTAGTGTCAACTGAGAGGCGCCAGTGAGAGGCCGAGAAAGAAAGGACGGAGCCTTCCATAAGAGGGCAGCAGAGGAGACGGGAGCACAGACTGGAAAGTCGCTGAGAGGAGGACCCCGAGGAACCTGGAGGCCAGATGCACTGGGGAGAGAAAGCGGGAAGACAAGGGGGACTCGAGTTTCCAGGTCAGTGAGGATGAGCAGGGATGCTGCAGATGGTGAAGACAGGTGGGACGGAGCAGGGACAGGCGGGTGAGAGAGGGGAGGTGACTGCATCACGCTGCCCTCGGGACACTAGGCAGGGCCCACATGCAGGTGTGTGGAGGGCAGCTTGGTCCAATCTAGGGCACGACTGAGGTTAGACAATGTAAGATACTAACCAATCTGAAGATGGTCAAGCTCTGGTGTGAAGAGGCCAGCAGGGTAGATTTTGATCAGAAAGTACATGTACTGCTTGTTGGGAAGAACTGGTTCTTTGAACTCTGAGAATAAGGAGTCAGACACAGGTGTGTATGGCTTCACTATTTCTGCACCTAGAAAAAAGTCACAACCAAGACACTCTAAAAATCAAAAAGCTCTTAATAAGGGTAAAACATAAATTTTATGCTATCCCTATTTAAAACTATATACCTAATACATATATAATTCTAACTGTACACCATGTTCCACATATAAACGTGGTATATGTGTCTGTATACATACAAAATATACTTATCTATGTAGGTATATGCACCCCAAGCTTGTATGTGCTGAAATAATTTTAACAAATCAATACTTTACCCATAATGTAAACAACCAGCTGTAAGAGGCACTCCTCCGAGCCTCGGCAGCTGTCTCCACAGAGGCCCGTCCGTGGGCTCCCTGGCCCTGACAGGTCGAGTTCTGTCAGTAACATAGCACAATACCAGGGCAACCACTCTCCAATGAGCGGCAATTTCTTTGTTCTGTACACTGACGGGGCACAGCTTTAGTTCTAACATGTAGGAAACACAGCGTCCACAAACCGAGATTCTGGCTGTACTGAGCTAGCTGCCTGGAAACACTAATTAATTTCTTAGGTGGTTGTTCCCTGCAGAGATTAGCACTGACTTCCAGCTGCTCATAAATGGAGACAGTGTTTCCCAAAGCCTCCGTCTGGCGTACCTGTAACAGTCAGCTTGAGGTAAACGTGCTGCCCGACGGGCGTCTGAAGGTGACTGCTTGGCGGCAGCTTCAAGCAGAACAGCTTTGTGTCGTGAGTAACGTCTTCCTTGGAGATTAACTGGCACTCTCTGTAGTGCAGACCTAGAACGTGACCCACCAGTTAGTAAGCAGCAGCCACGGACCCCTGGAGAGAGCAACCCAGCTGCCGCTCTCCGAGAAGCTTCACCCCACGGAAACTCTGTGCATTTTAGGAATTCATCAACATTTATCTGTTCACTTTGCTTCCCGACATATCTATTGAGACTTAGAGACTCTTCTGTAACTTGAAAAATGAACTTTATAAAATGACTCTCTGTTCCAGTCAAAACACTTGTCCTTAGCATTCCTTACTATTTTCAATTACCTAAATACCACTTTACTGATCTCCTAATGCACAATCTACTTTTTCTCATTTATTCCAGTAAGAACTTCCTAAACCAACTGGTGGGACTACGCAGCTCAGATGCAACCTATGAAAAAGGAATAACACAAACACACCAACATCTACAATATTTAAGTCACAGCATAAACATCTAGGTATGACCACAAAGAAAGAGACACACCTGCAGCTTTTCAGCTCTATGGGAGAATCCCATCAGAACTGGCCGGGGCTCACAGGGCAGGCCGGCGCACCCAGCCCCGAGGCGTCTGCTTGCTCCACAACACTGATCTCGAGGAGCACAGCCCTGACTCCAGGGGTGATGTTCAGAATACTTGGAAACAAACTATTCTCAAGCAACTCACAAATGTTTCAAAATTGTGACTGATAAAATAACACAAACGCATGAAGTCATCAGAATACCTTCCTATATATAGTACTAAAGAAACGACATTTGAGTTATTGTAATATACACCTCTTAAAATATTACATGACTGCATGTATTTTGTTATTGTTTTTCACTAATTTTGATAAAGTTTCCAGTTAATTTCTCGTCTATTAACCACTCATGTACACATCTGTACATGAGTAAAATTATGGATACTCCAGAGCTCACATGACTTGAATTCTAAGTTTTCAAACTAATCCCACTGTTTTCTTAGTACAGTAAATAACTTTAATTCAGTAACAGACTTCCCTGTCTATAGTGTGTTTGCCCAGATTTCACATGCAGGCCACATGGACAGAAAAAGGAATACAACAGTGAGAAGCCACGAGCCTCACAGCCACTGTCAGAGACGGAACAAGGCGGGGAGAGGCCACGCATCTCACGGCCACTGTCAGAGATGGAACAAGGCAGTGAGAGGCCACGCACCTCACAGCCACTGTCAGAGATGGAACAAGGCAGGGAGAGGCCACGCACCTCACAGCCACTGTCAGAGAGGGAACAAGGCGGGGAGAGGCCACGCGCCTCACA